TGAAGGTGAACTCAATTTATTTGTTTGCAGGAATTTTTTTGTGTGTGTGTAGTTGCATCGTGAATTTCGAAAATGTCCGACAGTGAATCTGATCAAACTGTGCTTAGTGATTCTGATTTCTCGCTTTCTGGCAGTGAATCTGACACTGATTCTGATGAAAACAACCAGGAAAGTGATGAAGACAATCAAAATAGTGATACAGACGATGTTTACGATAATTTTGCGAATCCTTGGTTTAGGATTAGGGGTTCTGAATTGGATAGGGATGACCCCTATGAATTTTTAGAAAATGTAGGACCTATGAATATGCCTCAAGGGATAAGTACACCAGTTGAGTACTTTATGCTATATTTTACACAAGATATCTTTCAAATGTTTGTTAGAGAGACTAATAAGTATGCAGACAAATTTCTCAGTAACACTGAGCTCAAGAGAAGGTCCATGAGTCGTAACTGGGTGCCTGTTACAGAGATTGAAATGAAGGTATTTATCGCCATAATTTTGAACATGGGGTTGATTCGTAAACCCAATATCAAGTCATATTGGAGTAAATCAAGCTCACAGACAACACCATGGTTTCCCCTAGTCATGGGCAGAGACAGGTTTGAATTAATTTTGAAATTTTTTCACATGGTTGACAGTACACGGCTGCCTAAACCTGGGTCAGATGGATATGATCCATGTGCACGATTCAATCCCTTAGTCGAACATGCAACCAATGTATTTCGACACCATTATAAACCACATAGAGAGATATGTGTAGATGAAAGCCTAATTGGGACTAAAAACAAGACCCAGTTGATGCAGTATCTTCCAACAAGCACCATCATAGATGGGGCATAAAACTTTATATGCTTTGTGATTCCGTGTCAGCCTATCTACTTGGATTTTTCATCTACAAGGGAAAGCGAGATAATATCACTAACCAACCAGACAATAATCAAGGGCTTGCTCACAGAGTTGTAATGAGATTACTCAGATTGGGGTCATATTTGAGAAGGGGATATCATCTCTTTGTGGACAACTTTTTCACAAGTATGCCACTGGTGAATGAATTGGCCCAGCAAAATACACATATAACCGGAACTATTCGCCGCAACAGAAAGGAACTTCCAAGAGGTTTGAAAGTCCCAATGCAACCTGGGGAGATCATTACTTACAGACAAGGCGAAACACTGGCAACAGCATTCAGAGAGAAGAAGTCGCAGAAAAATTCTGTTCTGCTCATATCTACAAAAAATAAAGCAGACACAAGAGAAGTTCGCCTTCGGCGGAGAGGCGTACAACAAGGGGGGATGCACCCCAAACTATACAAAAACCATTAACTGTTTTGGACTACAATAAACATATGGGTGGAATAGATCAGACTGACATGATGCTTTATTTTTATCTTGATGAAAGGAGAACCATCAAGTATTGGAAAAAGGTTACATTCAATATTGTGGCACGTATGCTGCTTAACGTGTACATTCTGTACAAGGAACATTCAACTGGAAAAATCATGGCTAGATATAAATTTAACACTTTAGTCATTGAAGCACTTGTTGCAGAACACATGGAAAATACAAGGGGTACAGAAGCTACAACAAAAGCAGGTATATGCTCTGTGCCCAACAATGGTGAAAAGGACTGCTCTGTCTGCAGCAACCGATAAGTACCCGGGGGAAGGAAAAGGAGTAGAACTATGTGCCAGAAGTGTCTGAAGGGCCTCCATGGGCCTTGTTTTCCAAAACACATGTGTTAGGATCTATTCATGCTTCATTCATCAAAAATTTCACACAATTTATACAGGTTAGTCATGTTTGATCTCAGTTTAACAAAAATTTTCACGCATAAATTATGCAAATGAGGATTCCTCATTTGCATAAATTTATATATTTCAGTTTGATTTATAAATATTGTATTAGCTTATTCAATTTCCTACAAGAATATATATGGTTTTATATATGTAAAGTAAATAATTTATTTTTTATAAATTTTTTTGCAATGTGAGTGCCGAGTTCATAAAAAGGGCTCCGAGTTCATAAAAAGGGCTCCGTCTTTTTCGCACATACTGCCCAAAAAGGCTCCGTCTCCAGAGGGTTAAGTTTCCCTGTAAATGAGCGGTTCTCAACCTGGTGGTCGCGACCCCCATGACCCTTTCACAGGGGTTGTCTAAGAGTAGACCATCTGAAAACACCTATACTCCACAGTTGTAAAGTATTAACGAAAATAATTGGTATATATAGTTTTATATATTATGTAAAGTAAATTTTAATTTTATTGCAATGTGAGTGCCGAGCTCGTAAAAAGTGCTCAGTCTTTTAGGCGCAGACACCCCGAAAAGGCTTAAAACAATTTTTAAAAAAAGCTAGGGCTAAAGTGTTCAACATGGCGGGCAATAAAGAATCCTTGTGAAGCCGGTCAATGATTCCTATATCTAGTGGATTTATAATTATTCTAACCTAGGGACTTTTTTAAAAAAGCTCATCACTTGATAATAAACTCTTAAATTTATAATTTTAAAAAAACAAAACATTTGCATTATAATTTTCTATTTTTTAGCCAAACGGAAAGACAAAACTATTTGATAATACGCTATTTGATTTTCAGAGTAAAGCCGGTTAAAACTCACGATTCCAACATCATCGAACATCGGATTCCATCACTAGTATTACACATATTTTGTTATTGCAATATACGCTAAAACACCATTAAATTATAAAAAGCTAATGTTATTTGAAATTGGTTGTAAGTGATAGCATTTACGTTTAATTTAAAGTTAGCTTTATCTACCTGAAAGTGAGAAAAACTGGAGAATGCGGGATAAAATGTACCGGATATGATGTCGAGATTCGAGAAGCTCAGGCATGATGGGCCATAATTTGTACTCAAACAAATAAACTAATTTCCGATTACTTGCCGTGGAAGTTTAAATTAGAAATAATGGGGTTTAATTCAAATGAGGCTGAAGTTTAGGGCATAAACATCTAAGGGGTCGTCCATTAATTATGTCAACAAAGGGGGGAAGGGGTTTGGAAATGTTTGGCAATTGTTGACGGGGGGGGGGGGGGGGG